GCTCAGGTATGTGTGGTTTTGTGGGGGGGAAGGGGTAAACTTCAGCACTTTGTATTTTTATTTGTTCTGGACAAACCTGGATGAGAGGTTGGATTATTAATTAACAATATAAAAGAACAGTTTAACACAACTTAAAACTACAAAAATAAGGTGGGTCCTAAAAATATACACCTGAAGTGTCAAAAGCCAGGCTGAGCAGGTGCATCTTCAGCTTTCTCCAAAAGCTGACGCACCTCTCTGGGAAGGGTGGCAACATGAGAACAAACAGTTCTTTTCTGTGCTGGCTTCCTGCTTGTGTGTGTGTGTGTGTGTGTGTGTGAATGTTTCATTTGTTCTTGTGTATTTTTGTGATTTTAATACAGTCGTACCTCAGAAGTTGAACAGAATCCGTTCCGGAAGCCTGTTCGACTTCCGAAACGTTTGACTTCCAAAGTGCGGCTTCTGATTGGCTGCAGGAAGTTCCTGCAGCCAATCGGAAGCTCCCTCAGACGTTCAGCTTTGAAAAGAACATTCGAAAACTGGAACACTCGCCTCCGGTTTTTGATCATTCTGGAGCTAGAATGTTTGACTCCCAAGGTGTTCGGGAGCCGAGGTATGACTGTGCTGTAAACTGCCCTCGAATGAAGGGCGGCATATAAATTTAATAAACAAATAAAATTTGGACGAATTGAAATTGCTGAGTCATCTTGCAGGGCAGCCCCATGTAAAGCGCATTGCAGTCCATCCCTTCTGGAAGTTAGCAGAGCATGGGATGCAATGGCCAAGCCATCGCTGCCCAACGGGGCCATAGCTGGCAAACCATCCGGAGCAGGGATTAGGCATTCCTAGCCACTGAGGCTAACTGAGCCTCCAGAAACAGTGATGAATCCAGGAGCAGTCCCCAGACTGTGGACCTTCCAGGGGAGAGCAATCCCATCTTCCCACCTCTAGGACATGAGGACACAAAGCACCCCAGTCTCTGCAGGATTCAGCATCTGTTTCGGGATTCAGATGTACCTAGTATTGGAGGAATGACTTTCAAACTATGCCATTTTGGAAAAAAGAAATGACTCTGGGATGCTAGGAAACTTAAGTTGGTCTCTGACTGCCATCAAGTCACCTGTCTGGAGTGACATGTTTGGATTGTATGTTGTCACCAGCTCTACTCCTGGATCTGATGGATGTTGGGTAGGGCTGGAGAGTGCTTCTAGGGAGGGGCTGCTCTTTATCAAGCACAAGGCAACCGGAACCTATATAACTGTGCAATAAGAACTGTAAGTTGAGCTTGCTTTTCCTCTTCCCTCCTCTTCCTCTTTCTTCTTATGTCATGCATTTCTGCGTTGCAAATCTGGGAGCAGGGACCATTTTAGTACAAAAAGCATGCCCCATAAATAAGTCAGTCAATATCCAATGCGGCAGTCCTTTGATGATGTTTACACAAGGGGAATTTTCTCCCCCTCCTCTCCGCTGCACAGGACTTTCAGGTAGAGGTCTACATTGTGGCATGGGCAAGCTGCAGAAGGAGAGGGTTGGATGGAGACTGCATTGTGAGAGCAAAGCTACCTTCATCTGGTTCTCCCAACCCTCAGGAGAAGATTTTCAGTATGTGTCAGTGTGTGTGATGCAGGGGTCTGCAATGGGGAATCCCCTTCTGGGTTGAGCATTGGAGGAAAGTTCTTAAATACAAACAGTTCAGGCTTCCAAGCTTGTATAGGACTACCTGTGGAATATGCCTGTTAATTGATGCTTCTGAACCCATAGCTCCCTCCTCCAGCTCTGCAGCCCCTCTGAAAACAATGCTAGTGATGGCAATATAAGTGGGCACACTTATCTGTGGCACTCCAAACTGAAAAGAAGGCAAAGTGCCTTGCCTTTGATTTTCTGGTGTATACATCCGTCATGCAGATTTCGATACGGTGAGGAAGTTAAGCTTTTACCACAGTGCGTGTGAAGAATGCTCTAGATTATGCCTTTCTTCACCCTTGGTTCTGTTTCCTTCCAAGATACTCTCTCATAGTGCTGCTGTATCCTTGGGTCACAGCAGACTGTCCTAGCTTCTGCTGCAAGGGGACATCTTTCAGTTGATTCTGTCAGTTGGTCCCCGTTCTGCTTCCTTCGCTGTGAACAGCACTGCTCCTCTGGAAGATCATGGCATCGTGCCTAATGTCGAGGCAGAGGAAAGCTTCAAAAGAACTGCAAGGCGGCATTGTGAACCAGCAAGAAGTCAGTTTTTCAGAACAATTGTCAAGTCATAGCAATTTCGGAACAGATTCTGTGCTGAATATTTTGATAGCATCCGCCAGATACAGAAGTGATCTCACCAGACAGTTATCTGAAAAGTAATGTAGACAAGTGGAATTCAGTTGTGCTTGACGAGCCTGGACTTACGGCGCTCTCACTCTGCAGGGTGTCTTTAGTAAGAGAAGAATTAATCCATTTTCAAGCATGGAAGTCATTTTTCCGACATGCCTGGCTTGGTTCCATGAGAGGCTGGGCCTGCAACATGGCCAATATTAGTTCTTGTTCTATAGCTTTACTTTTACCGAACCTGAGAATCATATACTTACTGATATGATATATGCATTTAAAGTGCTTGAAGCCCATCACGTATATTATCTCCATAGTCCTTACAGCCACCCAATATATTTGAGCAGCTTTATTAGCTGCACAAATTTATTATTCTTGCAGCTGAGAGAATAGTGGTGTTTCTAAGGTTCTCTTTTTCAGTCGCCGGCTGAGGTGAGATCAGAACTGGGGGCTGTCTCGATTACACAGAGCCACCGAGCTGCGTCACTTCTCTGCATGCTAAACTGTTCCACCCTCATTGATCATGGGGCACCAGTTTAGGCCTCCTTCCAAAAATGCGTGCGCGGGGGGGGTGGGGGGAGAAAAACATGGTTTGGCTTAATTCCAGAAGCAAATAAAGCATTTATCTTCCATGCTATCAGCATTCATTTAAACCAGGCCACCTGGCCACTTTGGAATCATAAATCTGCATCTCCTCTTGCTTATATCTCCCTTGCTTTATCATTTTAAACAAGTTGGCTGGAAAACCGCATGCTAACTTGCAGATGAATTCTGGACTGCGTAAGCAAATATCTTTGTTGGTTTATTAGCCAAAGGGAGGGTTATATTACCATAACAGGTGTGAGCTGGCATATGTTGCGCTTTGCAGTTTTGCCCGGATGTTGTAGGACTTGTTTGCATGTCTGATTTCTGAGGCACGTGGGCTCATTCTCAGTCCTTTTCAGAAAACAGTTTTGGCTTTGTACAAATACAGACATTTCTGCTCTTGTTTTAAACGCGTTTTTAAAATGTTCCCGCAAGAGTCTCAGAATATTCTCACCCGCACATCATTAATAAATAAATAACACACTTAAGGGGATTATAAAAAATCACTATGAAAAGGAATGGCATGGGAGAATGGGTGAGTGAAAATTTGAACCCTGGTCTCTTAGATGCTAGGCCAACACTCTAACTGGCCCGTTTTGCGGAACATGTTAAACCATAGTTTGAAGTGATTTAATGTGAATGAGCAACATAGAGCTGCCTGCTGCTTTCCCTTTCCTTTCTTCAGCGTGCCTGGGAGGAAACAAACCAAAAGTTGGTTTGCTGCTATAAGCAAACTAGTGTCTAACCAAGCTGGACCTGGAGTGGAGTGGAGCTCATTGTTTTGAGCTGAGCTTTTTGACCACATTGCTCATAGAAGCCTAGAACTGTAGAGCTGGAAGGGTCCACTTGGTTTAAAGTAGGAGCCAATGTGACATGGGAACAAGGCTGCAAAAATGGCTCTTTGCCTTGTAGAAAATTAGAGGCCTAAGTTAAAGTCTAACTTGATATCAGAAACGATAAAATATGCCACCACTCTGTGACCCAGTGATCCCAGAGATTCAATGTGGGTGGCTTGTGAGGAGGCCTTAATGGTGATGGCAAGCATCTAGCTTCCATAGGTTGCTGAAGATGCACCTTTTTACCCCAGCCTTTGAAAATAGAAGAATTTGATCACTGAGGCTGATCCCAACAAGATACAGACCTCCTCTCCCTTGGTCTACTGCAGCAGACAAGAAGCAATGGAGCCAAGGGACACAATTGTCATCAAGTCAAGCAGAGGTGAAGATGGGCACTGTCTTCAAACTAGAGCTCAGACTGAGGAGCTAGCTAGACACAGATAAGCAGATGCTGTAGCACGGATGCACTCTTGAAGTCCAGAGCTCAGTTTACCAGTTTATTCTGGGTTGCCACTGGAATTTGGGTGGTTCTTTGGATATATTTAAGAGCAAGCTGGTTGCAGCAGATGTCTTCAAGCTGATTTCAGCTGCGTGAGATGAACGACCTGTTGGTTTTGTGTTGCCAACGGCACAGATGCATCTCAGATGGTCCCTCATATAGGCTGTTATTCAGGTCAGCCATTCTGTCAACAAAAAGCTTTAGCAACGAAAAAACAAAAGTGTCGAGAAGGGGGCTAAATTTAGCCTTTGGAAAAGAAGAGGTGTACGCCTGGCAAAACAGTTAAAGCGACAAGCAAACAGTGTCTTACCAGAGACCCACAGAACACTCACTCTGTCAATGGTAACTGCCAAGCAACAGCTAAGGATGCCTGAAAAGATTATTCGTTTTGCAAAACTGAAATATGCAGTTAATGGGTGGAATTAACAATAGCGCTAAGGAGATCACTCTGCAAGTGCAGGCATTTCTGCTTGCCTGATGGAGCGACCGCCCCTCACCACTGTTTGTGGGGTTCTTCCAAGGCCCCCAGCCAACTTGGGGAAGGTGCAGGGGTAGGAAAGGGGAGGGGAGCACCATTCACTAGTAGGACTCACTCTGGCTCCCATGAGTGCAAGTAGTTAGTTGAATCCAGCCCAAAGAAACTAACCACTACCATCAACACATTCTTTGGGTTCTGCTGCAGAGTCTAATACCGGCCTTGTATTCAGACAAAAACATTTGTTCGTTTTAGCTGTAGCTGTGTGCCGAAGGCATTGCTAACCAATATGAAAAGATTACGTTTAATTTTATTACAGCTTCTACAGCTAGAAGAAGCCATGGCCCAAAGGGGACAAAACTCCAGACACTTCCTTCTCTCCAGACACAACAATGTCAATGCAGAAGAGAACAGTCACAACAGATCTGTAGACATCGCAGAGCAAATGGAGATGAATATCAGGTATCACATGGTATTAGCGCTCTGTTTTTCCTTCTGGTAACTGTTTGGTTTTTAAGCTTGTATGAGGTCAGTTCTTACGATATATGTTAGATGAGTAACTAGAGTGAAAATCCAGTGTTATCATTTCTGCTGATCTACGTTGTCTAGACCTCATCATGAAATATCTAGCAGTCTTTCCCGTCTCCAGGTCACAAATAACAGACATTCATAAGAAGCCCAGCTGTTGCAAAGAGCAGCTGACAAAGTCATCTTCACTGCGTTCTCTAGATACCTTGTCTTTTAAAGCTACTTAACCTACTGATCAGTGCATAAAACTCTCTCTCTCTCTCTCTCTCTCTCTCTCTCTCTCTCTCTCTCATTAAAACTGTATTTTTGTTTGGAAGCTTGGAATAACTCAACAGCAAAACACACTTATTTCAAAGATGTGCCCCTTATTTTTCTAGTGGCTGCCTGTTAAATTTTACCACACCTTGACATAAGAATATAAAGACTACAGAACCCTGTGACACACCAAAGATGTCGCCTTGCAATTGAGTTCCCCAAAATGTTTTTAGTCCATCTGCCCACATGACACAGAACAAAGAGGAAAGCAACACTGTTCTCCAATTTACAAAAAACTTGCATGATTCACGTACTCGTAGGCAATTCTTGCCATGAGCAAGTGGTCATTTACTAGCCTGTCTTAAAGACTAATGGTGGAATCCAGTGCATGTTACCTTGGGAGAATTTTGGCCCATTCTTCTTTACAGCGTTGCACCTTCAGTTCATTGAAGTTTGCTGGCATTTGTTTATGCATCGCTCTCTTAAGGTTCCGCAGAGCATTTCAGTTGGGTTGAAGTCTGGACTTTGACTGGACCATTGCAACCCCTTGATTCTTTTCTTTTTCAGCCATTCTGCTGTAGATTTGCTGGTGTGCTTGGGATCATTGTCCTGTTGTGTGACACAATTCCAGCCAAGCTTCAGCCGTTGAGCAGATGGTCACACATTTGGCTGTAGGATACTTTGGTATACAGAGGAGTTCATGGTCGACTCAATGACTGCAAGGTTCCCAGGTCCTGTGGCTTCAAAACAAGGCCAAATCAAGGCCCTTCCACCACCGTGCTTGACAGTTGGTATGAGGTGTTTGTGCTGATATGCTGTGTTTGGTTTTCACCAAACATGGCACTGTGCATTATGGCCAAACATCTCCACTTTGGTCTCATCTGTCCAAAGGACATTGCTCCAGAAGTCTCATGGTTTGTTCAGATACAACTTTGCAAACCAAAGCCGTGCTGCCATGTTCTTTTTAGAGAGACGAAGCTTTCTCCCGGAAACCCTTCCAAACAAACCATACAGTGGTACCTTGGGTTATGAACTTAATTCATTCCAGAGGTCCGTTCTTAACCTGAAACTGTTCTTAACCTGAGGTACCACTTTAGCTAATGGGGCCTCCTGCTGCCGCGGCACCGCCAGAGCACAATTTCTGTTCTCATCCTGAAGCAAAATTCTTAACCCGAGGTACTATTTCTGGGTTAGCGGAGTCTGTAACCTGAAGCGTCTGTAACCCGAGGTACCACTGTACTTGTTCAATCTTTTTCTAATTGTACTGTCATGAACTTTAACATTTAACTTGCTGTTAAATAAATCATGACACAGCGTAATACGTCATGTATTGTTGTTCATCTGAGGTTGTATTGACTTAATTTTAAGACCTGCTACGCAACAAATGATTGCTGTTATGTCCCAATATGTAAAACCACAGAATTCAAAGAGGGTGCACTTTCTTTTTCCCGTGACTGTAAATAGGGCTTATATTCAGTTTCAGATTGCAGTCTGACAAATGTTTTGTGGCATAAGCTTCGCTGGGCTCCTGTCCCCATTATCAGACAAATGCTTATTGGGCACCTATCAAATACTTTGCTCTAGTACAACAAAATACTGCAATAAATTCATGTAGTCTTTATGGCGAGGAAGACCCACCTCTAGTCCCAGATTCAACTCTTAGAATTCGCAGCTGAAATTATTTTTCTTGAGACCCTGGCGAATTGTTATCAGTCAGAGGAAGCAATTGTGAGCGAGATGTGCTGGTGATCTGACACAGGGTCAGGCCACATCATATACCCATCTGCTGTAGGACATGTGTTAGCGGCAACAGACAGTCACATTGACTGCTCTGCAATAAGGACCCAAAGACAATAATAATTCATAATGTTATCTTCAGCAAGCATCAAAGAAGCTTTTTAGGTTACGTGATTGATAAGACCTAATCTAATTAGCACATTGCTTTCCCTCCCGCAAGAGAATTCTGATCTACAGCAGAATTGGATTTGTATGGGGGTTTTTTTTTTGGGGGGGGGATCAAATTCTGACCTCTGACAATCCAAATTCTGTATCCCTTAATTATGCAAATTAAGGCCGTATGCAGAATTTGTCATAAGGTACTGCAGCCCTACCTCAGCCATCCTGGTGGCTATTTAAGATTTTAGTGGCTGTTCCCTGCACATTTTCAAACCTAGCTTCACAGAGTAGTAAATACAGACTAGAAAGTTTTTTTAAAACAAAAAATTATCAGGAGGCTGGTTTCCACATTATGTGCCAGTTTTTCTACCACGGAATCAGAGCATAGACACATCCCTGCTGAAACCACCATGATTTGGCCCTGCCAGCGTTTTGTGAAAGCCTTACATGGGGGCGGTGTTGTAATGATGTTTCATGGGGTCGGACAGTTAGAGGCGGTTGTTCTGTATTTAATTGTGATGTTGCTATATTTTATTGTATATGTTTTTATTTATCTTGGGGACCGTGTGGCTGAAAGGGAGGATCTGTAAATCTTCTAAATAAATACAGGCACCCACCCACCCACTTACACCGAGAAATAAATCTATTCAAATCTGGAAATGGCAGGAGAGAGCTGGAGAGTCCTTGTGGCTTGTGAGGAGGCCCTCCCCAGAAGCCAAAGACGATTTTTTCCTGTAGTTAACGACTCTGGCGTTGGCTTGCATGCCGCCATCCGCACCCCCGCTATTGTGCGGCTTCTCCAGCCTCTCTGGGGTCATGGTGCTCTGAGGGGTGGCAGCTCCCCTGGGAAGAACCCCTTCTATATCTACCAGATGAAGGAGAATGTTCTTTTTTTATTATTATTAAATAATATTTATTAAGAATTTAATAATTACAAAAAGAAGAAAAAGAGTTAAGCAAAACAAAACAATACAATACAATACATAAAAGCAAAAAAAGAAAAACACTGCTCATCTTAACAAAACAAAAGCAAAAGCAAAAACAAAGACAGAAACAATTAAAAACACATCCAATATTTTCATATCTTATCTTTCATTTACTTGTTTCAAGACCTCCTCACACCTCCCTTTTTTGTATTCTAGTTCAATTAGCTATTTCAGCAAATCCTTTCCATCTTTCCCAGTTTTTGTCCTATAGTTTATCCAGATGAAGGAGAATGTTCAAGGTAAAGAGAAGATTTAGAATGCTTTAAAAGAGCTGCCGCTTCCAAAATGGCACGCGGGAGCTCTCTGCTCAACAGCGGATGGGCGGGAAGTCGCTCCTGGCCGGAGGCTCTGCTGCGTGGCTCCCCTGCTCTTCCTGGCGAGATTGCGGGCAAGGGGGGGAAGGAAGGGGGCCTCTCTTGCCCCTTAGATCACCCTTCCAAACAAAAGGGGGGGGACAGAAAACAGAGCTCCCCAATTACACACATTTCACATCCCTGTGGAACGCCCTCCCACCAGATGTCAAAGAGAAAAACAACTACTAGACTTTTAGAAGACATCTGAAGGCAGCCCTGTTTAGGGAAGCTTTTAATGTTTAATAGACTATTGTATTTAAATATTCTGCTGGAAGCCGCCCAGAGTGGCTGGGGATACCCAGCCAGATGGGCAGGGTATAAATAATAAATTATTATTATTTATTATTATTATTATTATGCATGGGGGGGGCTGGAACATAACCCCTGCCTAAGTGGGGAGTTGCCCGTACGTAGAATAGCCTAATGGTGGCTTATTGGACTTCAAGGGGTGGAAGAATCGCAGCAACCTAGAGGTTTAAAAAAACATTTATTTATTTACTATTATTATTTTGAAAAATTGCTCCTTTGTAGATACTTAAGAATCTCAAGAACTGCCTTGCTTGATCAGGTCAAAAGTCCATTTGATCTAGCATTCAATTCCAAGCAGTAACCAGAGCATGTGAACATTTCATATCGTGAGTATAGCCACTTAAAGCCATCTAAGCTAGCGTCCATCACCCCACCAGATGGTAATGAGTTCCATCAGTTAATTATATGTCTCCCATCGCTGTTCCTTTTTTAAAAAAACTATAAAGTCCCAACATTTAGCTGTTCCTCATAGGGAAGCTGCTCCAACCTCTCGACCATTTTAATTCTTTTTCAACTCCCTTATATCATTTTTGAGAGGGCAACCACAAGCTGCTTATGCATTATCTATGTTCAGTCATTTATCAGTTAAGTTGTCTGTTTGCCTGTTAATTTGTTCAGCATTGGGACAGATCTGTAATGAAGGATCATCTTCATGTGTGTTCAACATTTCCAGGGCTGCAACCCAAGTTGGACACCAGCTTGCAATGATAGGGGACGAGTGTAACCGGATGTACACTGGGAAATGGGAGGATTCACTGCTTCATCTTGCAAAGGGGTAAGGTCCGCCTAGGGGGGTTTTCTGTATTCTAATTCTGAAATGCCTCTTTCAATAGCAAGTGCTTTTAAAATGCTCACCAGCTCATACAAACAAACAAAACCTCTCTGCAAGTAGAAAATGTGCATGGCAAGGCGTGGACAAGGCAATAAACTTTCTTTGTAAGTTTGCATTGCATTTATTTGCATTGTGTGTTTCATCTTTAAATGTAGAGGAACATAAAAAGTAAGCTACCCAGCCTGAAATTGCAAGTGTTATGTTCCATCCTACCACCTTTATTCCCTCAGAAGGGAATAAATTGCCTCTTTGCCTCAATGCCTAGGAGAGTCCTCATGGTGCCCAGGTGTCCACTTGTTTGCAGGATTGCAGTTGGCCACTTGGCCAGGGTGCAGAGCAAATCATTATTGTGTGAGTTCCTGTCATGCCCATTATTTAATGTGCTTTTAACTTGTTCATAAATGATCTGCAGTTTGCTTATAATACCCAGTTGTTTAGGGCTGTAAAAACTAAATGAATTGAGAGAAACTTCAGAGGGATCTCTGCAAACTAGGTATTAAAACGGCAAGTGTGATTCCGTGTAAGCAAGTGTAAATTAGTCCACATCGAGGCAAAAAATACTAACGGGGTCTGATGCTGGAGGTGACTGAGCAGGAAAGTGATCTTTGGATTCTGGTGGATCACAGTGAAAATGTTGATCCAGTGCAGGCATAGGCAAATTCATCCCTCCAGATGTTTTGGGACTACAATTCCCATCATCCCTGACCACTGGTCCTGTTAGCTAGGGATGATGGGTGTTGTAGTCCCAAAACATCTGGAGGGCCGAGTTTGCCTATGCCTGATCCAGTGTGCATCTGCTGTGAAAAATGTGGATAATTAATGTAATAAATGTAAGGGATAATTAGAAAAGAGTTTGAAAATAAAACTGCCAATATCACAATGTTTTTATATAACTGTATGTAGCTTGAAAGCAGTTCTGGTTGCTGCACCTCAGAAAGGATGTTGTAGAACTGGAAAAGGTTCATAAAAGGGTTACCAAGCAGATGAAGGTACTGGAGCAATTCCCCTAGGAGCAGATGCTACAGTGGTGGGGCTTTTAAGCTTAAAAAAGGGCAAGGAGTAAAGAGAGGACATCAAAGAACATTATGCATCCCTGGTGTGGAGAAAGTGAGCATAGTTTTTATCCCTCCCTCATAATACTAGACCTGGGTTTGTCCAATAAAGCTGAATGTTGAAAAATTAGGGGCACACAAAAAGGGAGTACTTCTTTGTGCAGAGCATTGTTAATCTATGGAATTTGTTACCAGAAGCTAGGTAAAGATACCCCTGACCGTTAAGTCCAGTCGTGGACGACTCTGGGGTTGCGTGTTCATCTTGCTTTACTGGCCAAGGGAGCCGGCGTTTGTCTCCAGACAGCTTCTGGGTCATGTGGCCAGCAGGACTAAGCCGCTTCTGGCGAACCAGCGAAGCACACAGAAACGCCGTTTACCTTCCCGCCGGAGCAGTGCCTATTTATCTACTTGCACTTTGATGTGCTTTCAAACTGCTAGGTGGGCAGGAGCTGATCGGCAAGCCCTAGGCTCTGTGGTTTTAGACCACAGCGCCACCCTACCAGAAGCTAAGATGGCTTTAAAAAGTAGCTGTTACATTCACATTGAAGCCACCAGGTGGCTTATAGACATTGTAGACAACTACAATTCTTTGCTGCTGATTTTTGTTTGATCGTCTGCAAAGCTGAATCATCTATGTGCTCACATTTGGCACAGTTTTGACTTGTAAGAAACTGGATTTATATGTAATATTTGTATTGTCTATGCTACATATCTATGGCCAAACTATATGTGACATTAAATGTAACTTTGCATTTAATGTGCAATTCTGTTTTCAATGGCTAATAGTACCAACCTGGAAAAGATCATTACAGTGGTGCCCCGCAAGACGAATGCCTCGCAAGACGGAAAACTCGCTAGACGAAAGAGTTTTCCGTTTTGGAGGTGCTTCGCAAAACAAATTTCCTATGGGCTTGCTTCGCAAGACGAAAATGTCTTGCGAGTTCCTGCGGGGGTTTTTTCCTCCCCCCCCCCTTTTCTAAGCTGCTAAGCCGCTTATCAGCTGATCCGATCAGCAGATAAGCCGCTAATAGCGCTAATCCGCTAATCCTTCAATGGGCTTGCAGATAAACCGCTAAAAGCCGCTAATAGCGCTAATCCGCTAATCCTTCAATGGGCTTGCAGATAAGCCACTAAAAGCCCGCTAATAGCGCTAATCCGCTAATCCTTCAATGGGCTTCCTTCGCAAGACGAAAAAACCGCTAGACGAAGAGAATCACAGAACGGATTCTTTTCGTCTTGCGAGGCACCACTGTATAAGGGATCATTATGGAGTCATAGAAGACAGGTTAAGCCTTTCTGCCCCTGCAGAAGTCTTGAGGAAAATCCCTTCTCTTTGCACCAAGGGATTTGTGTGTGTGTGTGTTCCTCACAATGCCAGTAGCACCTTCAGAGGAGGGATTTTGATTTTGCTCAGGATTGCAGAAGGGAAAAAGGATTAAATTCTTATTTGTACCTGCTGAGACCACCAAGGATGTATTTAATGTTATGTGACTTCTAGTCTGGCCAGCTCCCATCATTCCTTTGTAGTCTAGTTTACAATCAAGAAACAGAATCCAAGATTCACTCTGCAAAGTGAACTGAGAATGTCAATGGCAGCCTTCACAAATAAAACAGCTTCAAAAAGTCATTTGCTTCAGAGAGGGAAGAAATGAGAAGTCACACTTTCCAAAGTCAGTTTCCGATTTGCTTGTTTGATTAGGTAAAGGTAAAGGGACCCCTGACCGTTCAGTCGTGGCCGACTCTGGGGTTGCGGCGCTCATCTCCCTTTATTGGCTGAGGGAGCCAGTGTAAAGCTTCCGGGTCATGTGGCCAGCATGACTAAGCCACTTCTGGAGAACCAGAGCAGCGCACAGAAACGCCGTTTCCCTTCCCGCCGGAGTGGTACCTATTTATCTACTTGCACTTGATGTGCTTTCGAACTGCTAGGTTAGCAGGAGCAGGGACTGAGCAACGGGAGCTCACCCTGTCGTGGGGATTCGAACCGCCGACCTTCTGATTGGCAAGTCCTAGGCTCTGCTCTGTGGTTTAACCAACAGCGCCACCCGCGTCCCTGCTTGTTAATTAGAAGCATTGTTTGATTAGAAGCATTTAATACTTGATTTGGAGCTCAGGATTCATTTCCATAATGCCTGTTTAATTTTAAACTAAATTCTACTTCTCCCAACTATTTTGTTTCTCAATAGGATAGCAGCCAACGTTTTTCACACTTGTATCTGGAGTAATTTTAGAAGTATTATGAAAGCCTTTGGGAGTTTTTTGAGCAGTGGCTGGAGAAAGAAGATTCTCGACTGTAACTGGGTAAATTTCATATTATTTTGCATTTGCAATTTTTCGACTGAGGGGCTGGAAAGAAGGAAAAAATGTAGTAAAAGGGAATTTGTAATCTTGCAGTGCAGTCCTATGCTTGTCTCCTTGTAAGCTGAACTCCATTTAGTTCAATGGAGCTCACTCCCAAGTTAAATAGAATTGCATTGTTAGCCTGCAGTTCAGCCCACTTTTGTGCTTTGGCCTGATGGTTTTCATAGAACTGAACTATAAAGGTTTGTGGCTTATACTGCTATTAGGTTCCTGCCCAATTTTGCTTGTGTTTCCCTGAGAACTATTACAGTAATAGCAAATCAGGATGACCTCTATATAAATGCATAGACCGTTGCCAGTGAATGCCAGAAAAAAATGTGCTTCCCTGTAACCCCCAAATTAGTGCAAAACAGGATTTATGGGCTGGATCCAGAGAGGCAGTTTGTTCTGATATGCTTACTGAGAAGTAAGCCCCACTGAGTTCAATGAGATCTCCTGCCAGATAGGGGTACAATCTTGCGCTCAAATTCTCATTAAAATAACTGGACTTAAGTCATGGCTATCTTTTCACATCAGTCTCAATGGGTACAAAATCCAACCTGATGTGTTATGCTTTGTGCTGGCAGATCCTGCATTAACTAATTACTCTTTCCTCCTCCATTTCCCCTAAATTTCCAAGGGAGCAAAAAATAATGATTGTAGGCTTTCTATATTTACCTTTTTAGAAAAGTTATTGAAGGGGTTATGGGTGGTGTCCATCGCAGCACTGCCTAAGCCCATAATAATAATAATAATAATAATAATAATACCTTTCTTGTCAATGTACAACCTGTGTACAATGAAATTAACTGAGCCTCCCCCCCCAAACACTCAATCTCATTGCACTCTGTGTGCTTGTCGCACACACACAAATCCCAAAAGTCAGTTGCACTATATTATTTTCCGTTCAGCAGCCTAACAGCCCACAGATAGAAACTGTTTTTTAGCCTGTTGTTACGACTGATTATATTTCTATATCTCCTGCCCGAGGGTAGAAGATTAAAGAGGTGCTGGCCAGGGTGTGAATCGTCCCTGAGAATTTCCTCACTCTTCACTTTGTGCCCTTGCCCCCAGCAGTGAAGAAGAGCAAAGGCTTTACCTTTCAATTAAGCTTGGGAACGCTTCCATCAAAACTACACTTGGTAGATTGGTTGGTCCTAACAAAGGCATTTCCTATTATTATTATTATTATTTTTAAAGCAGCACTAGCGTTGCGCAAACAGGGAGCTTTTCATGTGGGAGAGAATCCCAAGATGTGAAGAACAAACATTTTGCTGCTCCTGAATTCTGGACTGGTGCAGCTGACGAAGTACATGATGCCCACGTTGCTGGACTCCCAACTCCCATCATTTATTTTACAAATTGATAAACCACTCCACAGCCTGAGGGAATCAAAGCCGTGCACAGTGTTGAGAAGATAACGTGCAAAACAAGCAGATTCAAAAAAGCATTCAAAGCATTCCTGCAAGCCATAAAAGCATTCCTATAGTTGTGCAATTAATATTTTGTAAATGACTGGGACACACTTCCGAGGAAGCCTTCTTAAACAACTATAGGAACTGTGGGGAACTGGAGTCCCAAACCAGGGCTGCAGGTCAGCCACCTTGGAACTACTGCAGGTGATTTTTTTCCCTGCTCTCATTCTCTAATGCTTGTGGTTTTTAATCAGTTTTATTCTTTTCCTAAACAGATTCTTTGGGTGCCTCTGAACTGCGTGTGCCAGAAATGGTGGCCAGCCGCGCTGCTTGCTATTTTGATGTGGGGTCTGGTCACTTACGGACTGCAGGATTAGTCGCAAGAGTTGCCAATGGAAGGTCACTGCTGGACTCTGACCAATCTTCAACTCACCCAGGAGGTGGCATTCGCTTTGTTTGTTTTTTAAGAAGTTGGCTATGGATAACTTTTTTCTATTTAAAATGTAGGCTAGTGCTGGGTCACTGCTGTTTTCATACTTTTAAAATAAATATTGATATGGGGTTGTTGCTGGATAACTACCTAAATTGCTTGTTTTGAAATATGTATGTTCAAGTGATTAAAGTCTGACTTTTATACTAAAAGAGCGGGGTTTTTGTTTTGTAAAAGGGAATTTGGAAAGTTGACAGAAGGGTATGCTGGCCATCCTTTTTAACACTTGCACTGTAAAATATCTAATGAAAATTGGAGATCTTAAAAGACTTGAAAAATAAAACTGATGTTCCAAATCTAATTGCCCGATTCTAATTACATTATTTCCCTCGACGTGTTTCAGCGTGATCCATTCTGCACACATCCCATATACGCATCCAGCCATCTCTCTCCTCTACTTTCATCCACGTACATCAGAGACTGCTTTGCCACAGACTGCTGAGATTAGTATTACGCCCATTTACAGTTGGTTCTTTTCTCCCTAGTGTCATTCTTTCAAGCTTTGTATGGATATATGGTAGAATTGGCATCTGAAGTTGATAACACTCTTGAGCTCTTTTGGCTGGTAGCTTTTGACAATGTCTTAATGTCATACATACTGATTTCTTACAGTGTACCATTGTCTGTGGTTGCATGAAGCTTCTGAAGGTCCTCATGAGGTTTGGTCCTCTGCTTGAAGAAATACAGACATAAATTAGTGGGGGGTGGGGTTTACTTTCTGATGCTGGTCATAAGATATAGTGGACTCTGAGAATGGAATGGGGGCAGGGTGAGCTTATGTGTGCTCGGCCAATGTGCGCAGGGGCTCTGGTCGCCACCTGTATTCAAAAAAGTTTATCAGGACCAAACTTGAAAATGCTGGTGTTAACACAATAGTATGTTCCAGTGACCTATATTTACCAGTTCAGACTGCAGAGGGGGCTTGCATGTTTGACAAGAAAATCCCTAAAAATAAAATACCTAAAAACCTGTATGTTTTCCCTTAAGCTCCTTGGAAGAAGATAGGAAACACATAAATTAACATGGGTAGACAGAAAGCTTGTAGTTCATAAAGATTATGTACTTAAGGAATTTGTGGATTATAAAGTGGCTTACTATGGTTTTTTAATATAAATTTGACTGATAAAAAACTTTAACATGTAATTAATTACAAGAAAATTAAAAGAGACATTAAGAAAACTTGGTCATAACTCAACAAACAGCCACTACCGTATTTATGACTTCACATTGAAAACTATGGAAAAGAAATGAATCTCCAAGCCCCACTTAAAAGATGCAGGAGCTGGGGCTGGCATCCTTAGGCCATCTTAGGCTGCAGGGATCGTCAGTCTTCCCTGAGCCTTTTCCCCCTAAAAGGGTTTTTTTGTTTTGTGTTTTGTATTTCTGCCAACTCACGGCTTCCCCAACTCTGCAAATACCAATCTCTTATAAGTGGGTTTTGGCTACCTATGCACCAGCACTTGGATGATGGGAATTGAATGACAATAATGACAACACTGACAAAAGTTTGCCAGGAAAACGTTCAAAAGACACAGAACTTTTAGAAGACACCTTTCAGGCCTCCTCCACCGGTTTGCTGCTGCTGGGGCTGTTGCAAGGCTCTTTTTAGCAATCAGATTCTAAAAGAAAGAATCAGTGTTTCTTTGTAGGACACACTCTTGCTTCAAAAACAAGAATTAGCTTCAAAACAGGAATTTGAACATTGAGCTGACATCATGCCACACCCTTATGCTAAAGTATACAGAGGCCTCCTCTGAGCTTTATTGTAGTTAATGTTTACACACATCAAGAGTGGAATTTGTCCTGACAGGCTAGAAGGAAATCAGTTTCAGATTTATGATGAACAATTTCTTCATAGAAACTTCTTCTTCATAGAAACTGTACCTCTATTCCTTTCAGAAAGGTGCTATTGTAGATAACACTGAACTGTGCAGTCCAATGCTGGTTATAGTCCGGTGCCAGCTTACCTAAGCCTTCTACTGCTGGCTCACATTTAGCAATAAGATCCTGCCTGAAATATACCATGTCTGCAAATCATGACAGCAGAGCTCAGCTCTAAGAGTGGATTTTCATATCTAGAAGTGGTTGTTGAATAGCCAAGAATCAAGAAACTACATTGGCATAATGCACTGGTTTTATTAGAACTGAAATCCCGATGTTTCAAAAAATATAATTTAGTCTGAAAGATGTATCTTTCCGTTTGTAACTCACTGACTTGTGACTTGAGGAAGATCCAGGAGCTGTTTTTTTATTGCAGTTCAATGCTTTTGGACACTGAGATTTATTTCAACCCACAGGTGTCGCACAAACAAAAAGCATGCTTACATTTTGTATTTGCTACAAAAGAAAACAGCAATTTTTTAACCTATCTCAGCTGTAAGAAAGGATTTATACACTGCTGCCATCCTCTGGCAGGAGACTACCTGAGATGATTCTAGCAAGAATATCTAAAATCCATCCACTGTTAGGAGTGCTTCCACAGCAAGTGTTCAGTGTGGGATGGTAACATTTTCTTCACTCCATCCCGCTAGCTATCTTGGCTTCTGCCAAAGCCGCGCGCAGCCTCTCCCGGCTGGAGAGGTTGTGCGTGGATAAGAGGAAGCCAAGAAAGAGAAAACACTTGGCTTCTTTGCTCTTTAAATAATCCCCCCCTTTATTCCCCCCCCCTAAAAACTAGGTGCGCCCTATGGAGCGAAAAATACGGTACATAGAAGGAGCTCATGTTCCGACAAGATCCACTGATATTAAAAGGCACGGCGAACCTCATCCCATTAATTTCAATGGGTCTATTCTGAGTACCACTCAGTTGTCGACAGCACATGGTCTTTAGCAGAGCCTTTTCTGCATCCAGTCAGTAAGACCCAACTCTCCAAAAACCTGTGGTGCCTGATTTATAATTTTACTCATGTCCAGAAGGAAAACTAATGAGGTACTTTGCAAAATGGGGACCTTAATAATGTGAGTGAGTATTCTAAAAAACTAATGGTACATTATGCATAGATAGCATACAATGGGTAACACAATCACTGCATCCAATACAATCACTGTAACTCGCCTCAGTGGGGCAAGTTACAGTTACCAATTATACACCAAATGCAGATCTCCCACCCACAATAAATGATATGTAAAACAAAGAAAACATTTTAACTTTATTATTATTTCACTGATTCTTAAAAGTTAAAGCAAGACACTGAGCATAAGTCACCACGATTCTTTGGCCAATGCAGGTACTATTGATCAGGCTTATATAAAACAATTCTTTAAAAAGTTTGTAGCAAAGTAATTGATGTGTCATGGTCAAATCTGTTTGTCTGAAGAAGTGAGACCCAGAGTGGCCTCTGAGGTAACAAGCAATTCTTCTGTGCTAGTTGTGTAGGGAGATAGCAATGGCACAACGGTATACAGCTCCCTCTCCAAAAGACTATGTTGTGTCTTCCTTCAGGGCTTGCATGATTTCATTTTTACCTAATAATAAATCCACTTAAAATGAAAACTTTTCCTACAGACATCTCTATGCTTTTTCATCTTCTGAAACATCAATATGTTCATAGAACTTCCAGGCCTTCAAATTGCAGCCTTTTAGGATTGTTCCTAGCTGTTTCCCAGGCCCCACTTCATAAGTATAAGGAAATCCTACTCCTTTTTTCCTTTCGTAGATGGCATGCATCGTCTGCTCCCATTTCACTGGTGAAACCAACTGCTTCACTAACAAGCGCTGGATCTGTTTCGGTTCAGTGTATCTCCGGTTTTCCACATTTGAATAGACAGGGATGAGAGGCTTCTGGATATTAATTGAGTTGAGGGCTTCAGACAAAGGTCCCACTGCTGGTTCCATAAGTTGTGTATGAAAAGCACCACTGACTGGCAGCATTTTCACTCTCACAAATGAGTATTTTTTCGAATTTTGCTGCAAAAACTCCAAAGCCTGAAATAAAAACGAAACAGAAGACTGAACCACAAAAACAGAGTTACTGCCTTCAATCTAGAACTGCTGTTAATGTCATTTGGCTCTTAGGAAAACCCTATAAATTCATTGTGGCCTACAAGTCAGAGGATGATAATGATAATAATAATAATAATAATAATAATAATAATAATAATAATAATTATTATTATTATTATTATTATTATTATTATTTATTTGTACCCCGCCCATCTGGCTGGGCTTCCCCAGCCACTCTGGGTGGCTTCCAAAAAAATTATTAAAATACTCGTAATACATCAAACAGTAAAAGCTTCCCTGAACAGGGCTGCCTTCAGATGTTTTCTAAAAGTCTGGTAGTTGTTGTTCAACAGAGACTTAAAACTTTATAGGGAAATGTAAAGTACTGGCTTAGATACCTGAATTGCATTTGTTGCGTTTCCATTTTTGTTTTATACCAAGGGTAGCCAATGTGGTGCTCTCCATATGTTGTTGGAATACATCTCTGATCACCCCTGACTATTGGCCATGCTGCCTGGGGCTGAGGAGAGCTTTGTTCAAAACATTTGGAGAGCACTAGGTTGCTACATGTGCTTTACATCATCACTGCATGTCAGTTAGATCCTGTTGCCAGGTGACAGGCTTCAATTCTAATCCCAATTACAAGCGGCTGCCTTTGAATATTGCTCAGAAACTTCAGAATGTAGCTTCACAGCTGTTGACCAGGGTTAGCAGAACAGCATGCACTGGGAATATTAAGGAGCTCCACCAGTCAGTGCCTATGTTCAATCCGAGGTACTGATGCCTAACTTTAAAGCTAGAAAAACTTACAGTCGGGTAAACCAGGGAGCCCCTTTCACTATGAGGTCATCTGGCCCTGATATCACCTCTGTCTGAGGAGGGCAGCCCTTTTCCCACTGCAAATGTGCTTGTCTGTAAGACCTGTTTGCCTAAATCTATTGTACTCCCCGCCCTTTAGAAATCAGTGAAAATCTTTTCATTGCTCCTTTGATTTCAAACATTAACTTATTTTTATTGCTGTTCTTCTGCTATTCTCATTACTATTGTTCTTATTATTGTGAACTGGTTTTAAATGTGTTTATTGTTATTTTTAAAAATTAAATATATCAATTGATGGCTATTAGTATAGGTACTTTGCATGTAAAAAAAAGCAGGATAAAAATACAATTCATATAACAAGCAAGCAAACTTCTCCCCTCAAAATACAGAATATGACTAAGTAGTACTGTTCTCTTGGCTGTCAGCAGTGCTACTGAAAACCCCACCAATTTCCAGATATTCAGAACCATTATTTTGAAATAATACCTGCAAATGTCCTGCAATGACTCTGCTGCCTGGAAACAAGTAGTTTGAAACTT